ACATCACCCTCTCAAACGAACCCTAACAATATTTGCTACAGAAACTGCGTAGACATATGAAGATTCATGACAATAATAGGCCCGGATTCAACTGCTCTGTATGCGATAAAGTTTTCTTGTCGAAATCCTATTTGGAAAAACACATGAATTGCGTGTAGTATGAGCTGATAGACATATTTTAAACAAAATACGTATTATTCTGGTATTGTTTCATTTTCTATAAGATAAATTCATTTTTCCGTTATATTGTTAACATTCTATTATTTTATATGCGTATTAGTATTGTGCCTCTATGATTTCCTTATTATTTCTCTTATCTCAGTGAATAAAATTCCCATTTCGTGTCTACTTGCATCTCACTAAACGGCTTCAAACAGGTGACTTGCACTTCATGCATGAAGAACCTGCTATCAAATGTCACTGCTACTAAATTACCAATGAAATCATATTGTCTCATATGAATCCCTCATAAACAACATGGAAATAAATCCACGGTAACGAAAAGGCTTTTCTTAATCACAACACTTGAAGTCTACCAGTATTTGATATGGTTATTCATTCATTTCGTTTGTCAACTACAGTTCCACTGCAATGTTCCGTTGAAGACAATAGTCATTTCAGTTATGCCATTTGCAAGTAACATTTCATACAGCTGATAAACCATCCTAACTCCGGACTAATAGCAGTGAATTGCCAAATAGTTGATTTGCATTCAATGGATGTTCCAAATCTATGGCAAGTCTAAAGAAACCGAGAAAAAAATCACAGCATCGAAAACTTTTTAGGGTCAAATGAGAGAAAAAATTTTTTAAATTTAACAATTAGGAATTTAATCTACCAAAAGCATTTTTTTAATCTACCAAAGTTAATTTTTGACATAGTTTGAGAAGATATGCGAACTCTAATGTACATCTCATATTCATTTTCAGTGCTCTTTTAAGATTTGGTTTTTCATAATTTTGAGAATCATAAAAGATGCTTTGTTAACTGTCTAATATTTTATCGCAAAAATGAACAAATATTACATTTCTCAACCAAACGAAAATATATATAGAAAAGGGAAAAAGAAAAAAAAATCATAATTCTGAATATTGGAACTGCTAAATGACCCGAAAACTTTACAGTGGAAAATGAGTTTCGAAATTTTTTTCAATTTAAAAAAAAAACAAACAACGAATACTCATATCAGCAAATTTTCAAACATATCAAAAAAAAAATGCAATGTATCAAATTTAATGTCTCATTAATTATCATATCATTAAGACATGAAGCAGGTAATCTCGGCACACGGTAATCTCGGCACTACTATCATGCATTTTTTTCTCATTGATGATAATAATTGTCATCGATTAATCACCATACACTCATTTTTCACAATATTTTTTAATAATAATTAATACCATACATTTTTTTTTTTTTGTTTCAATAATGTTAATAATAATGATTATTATTACTATCACTATTAATTAATATTATTGTTTACTGCAATTATTATTGTTTTTATGTTGTCTTAAAAATTTTTTCATTCATTTTGAAATTTTATGAAGCCTTTCATAACTTCACAAAATATCTTTATTGGAATTTTAATAAACCAATAGATGCATAGTGATTAATTGATGAAAATCTTTTATAATTACAATCATATTTGTTAATTTTTCTTCACCAATCGTAACATTATCCTCATATTTCGAACAAAAATAACTGACATGATAATCTATGATCTTTTCACACTTAAATTCTAGTGACTAGCATTTCAACCATGTTACTTTAATGACACAGAAAAGTGTTTATTATCAAAATAGTAATGTATAATAAATTCTCTTTCTGTAATTATTAAAATAAAATAACAGGAACAGTAGCTTGACCAAATGGACAACAACAAGTAATGCACATTATTGTCGTTATTATTGTCGAATTATTTATGCTTATTTGCTGAACTACTTATTGTTTACTAATTTTCACGTACGTTTAACAATCAACTATTAACACTGCCCAAATGTCGTTTAACGAAGAATTTTATATTATTACTAATGTGTGCTAAATATAGATCATTTCATATTTCATTTACCACAATATACATTTTTTTTCATTAATTATGTAAACATTATAGAAAATAGATAATGAATAAATAAGTAAATAATAACTCGAATAATGTTATTAAACCGGTTACAGAAAGAGAATGCGATCATAATAATGTTACGACCTAATACATGTATGTATAATATATATATGAATAAAATAACTTTTCTAAAAAAAAGTGCCGATAAAGTAAGCTACCTAAAATAAAAGTATAGATAAAGTAATTAATGTAGTAATACTGATCATACTTTGTTTACTTAAAAAATAGGCACGAATTAAAAATCTGCACAAAATAATTAACAAATACAATATACAATTAATAATTATGTTTCTTCCATCGTTCTTGATTCTTCAAAATTGGTGACATTTGTTTTCGATCCAATAAATAATTCACTGCCAGAAATTTTCATGCTTGTATCAAATGTTTCCTTTACTGAAATTATCTAACATCCATAAAGAAAATAATAATGATTAGTAACAATAATAATAAATATTATCTGTTCAAATTGAAAAGGATCCTAATTAAGATTTAAATAAATAAAATGAAAATGAAATAATATGTTTAACCGTATGTAAACTATCGTAAGGGATGTAAATTTAACGTAATATATGTTAGGATGATAACTTTGTGGAAATTTTTTCAAGTTAAATTAATTCCAAAAATGTTTAAAGTAATTATCACTAAATAATACTTTCATATTTTTCTTTCACTCTTTAGCTTCTTTTCCAGCTCATCGATAAATCAAAATTTAAAAAAATCGAAATTTGATGAAGCTAAACTAAAATGCAAAATTTTTAAACAGCATCATCACTTTCACACTAATTTTCATCGCTTTCTTGCAGGTAAAGAGCTATAACAATTATGAACCTATTACTTTTCCTAATCAATCCTCACACCTCATGCCTTTCATCTCACTTCCACCTAAATTAGTGTTTCTTAATCTTTTCTTGACCACTGATCACTTTAACCTTTTTTATTTGTAGCTGAGATCAGAAGATTCAAAAATAATAAATTCCATTAATTTAGAAATAAATTTTAATCAAAACTTTTAATGTATTAATTTATGAAACATTGATAGGAACAGTCCCACCTATTTTCTATTCATCACACCGTCGCCCTCCCGGACTATATTATTTTAGTTCTCGCGAAATACCATTTGAGAACCATTGCCTTAAATTATTTCATGAAATTTTAAAGTAGTAATCATTTCTAATCTGTTTCATGCTTTATTACAGTTATTTTATCCATCAACATTGATTGATTGAAAATAAAACTCAATGTGGCATTTTTAAATAAATTCTGTTAGATTTGTTTTCATTTCATTTCATTGAAACAAAAAAAAAAAAAAGTAGAGTTAAAATTTTTAGTTGTCAAAGAAAAAAAGAATAGATGGAGATTTTTTTTTTGACAATAAACAAGATTTAGTTGCATTCACATTGTCAATCAAACGTTAACAATTTATATTTTTAAAACTTCTTTTTCCTTTTTTTTTGTTTGATCAAATACTATAGAAATGAACAATATTGATAATCAACTTGTGTTAATGTTTTAGATAATTGCAACTTTTGGTAGTAATTAAAAAGTACTAATTAGAGACATTAATTGTTGCTAATAAAAATCAAAATTGTGCTAATCATAGGTATTGATGGTTTCTGATAATTAAAGTGCGTTAATTAAAGATAATGATAATTTATGGAAAAGAATCAAAATATGCGAATTACATTCAAAATTAATACATGCCATTTTAACAAATTTTGTATATCCATTAAATAAAATGAAATCAACTTTAGTATTTATTGTCAAATTTAACAAATTTACACTGCCAGGAAGGAAAATATTTGTAAATTTTAAAGTAAACAAACAACAAAATTTTTGTTTAAGAAGAAAGCTAAGATACCAAATTTTCTCAATCTTTTATTTCCCAAAACAAATAATTTATGCAAAATTTTTTTTTTTGCTTTCAAAATTATGTCAATTTTTGTTGCTTTTTTCTTGCAAAAATGAAATTTTTCAGCGGCAACTGAAATTTGACAGCACCTGTCAAATTTGTACAACAAAAGAAAAAAAAATCAAAAAAAATTTGCACTATAAAAAAAAAAAATATTTTTCATTGTTAAAATCTAACAAATGCTATCAGATTTCGTTTTCGTTTTTTTTTCAAAAAAAAAAAAGTTTTTTTTTCTTATCCTTCACATACGAATCCCTTGTCAAAATGCACTTCATTTCACTTCATCACATAAGAATATATAAATTGTACTTGAAAGTTTTTTTTTCCATTCTTACATAATGCTTTTCCTGTCCTATCTAAATTGTTCTCTTTTTCCCGTTATTTAAAAAGGAACAAATTAATTTAGCATCCAGAAACCTTTCAAAAAAAAAAAGGAAAAATGAGGAAAAGACAACAATTATGCTTGAATTATTTATAGAATAACTTTTTATCAGCAGTCAGCAGACATTTATGCATGCAAAAAAAGAAAAAAAATATTTTGGCTGGACATTTAAAAAGTTTAAAAAGAAAAAAAAAGTAAACGTAAATTGAAAGAAAAAAAAGTGCCTTTTTAACATGTTTTTGCATTTATTATTCAGAAAAAAAAGAATTCATGTTAAAAATTTGCAAATTTTCTAGCGAAACTCATTTTTATTCCTTTCTTTTTTTGAATTTTTATAATTTCATGTCCACTAATTTAATCTACTAAAAATTTAACTAATTTAATTTAATCATACATGTCTGCTAGAAATTCAAGTAGTTTCATCATAGTCAAATTAAAATATTATTTTTATGATAAGATCGAATAAATTCTGATGAAATTTGAAATACTAGTATTAAACATAGATCTTGACTGATATGCATCAACAATAATTTGATAAAATTTTATAGATTCTTTTTTTTTTTTTTTTCAGCTGTTTTACTTAGACGAGAAAAATTTTTGATCAAATGTGCAATTAATCAAATTCAACGAATTTGTAAAATTTTTAATTTAGCTGAATTTCAAGTAATATTTTTATATTCAAAATATTATTTGAAAGAAATATTTCAAAAGTAGACCTTCCTTAACAATAATAAAAATTCTCAATAATACTTGAACATATATATATATATACATACATATATTTTATCGATCAAATCGACCATCTTAAATATTACGCTAGAAAACGATTATTTTGAGCTTATATTTTTTGTATCTATTTTTTAATCAATTTATTTTTCTGAACGATTATTATTTTAAGCTTATAATACTCATTGACACATAGTAACAAAAATCAAAGTAAAATAAATGAACTATTTGATTACTTGTATTTTATTTATTTATTTTGCATTTTATTTACTATTTTATTTACTTGTATTTTATTTTATTTATTTTTATTTACTTGTATCTTATTTATTTGATTACTTGTATTTTACTTCGCATTAATTTATTTATTTATCACATTGATGAAGTTTGAAGAAATTAAGTCTTTACGAAAAAATAACCGCAAATAATTGAAATAAAAACAGAAACTTATTAAAAAGAGAAAAGTCAACAAATAAGATTATGAGTAATGTATGTAAGTGATAATTTGTTTTATTAATTTGTTTATTTGCTTGTTTACTTATTTGTTCATTTGTTTGTTTACCTGTTTATCCATTTGTTTATTTGTTTGCTCGTTTTCCAGTTTGTTTCTTTGCTTTCTTGTTTACTTGTTTCCTTGTTTGTTTGTTTACTCATCAGTCTGTCTATTAGTTTGTTTTTAAAAGTAAAAGAAAAAAAAAAAACCAAGAGGATCAATTGAAAACTATTCGTAATTTGAAGAAAATTAAGCGCATATGGTTCCTTTTTTTTGATACTATATTGATTTTTTCAACATCACATCAATTAAACACCATAACAATGTTTGATACATTACAGTAGTCATCCAAATTCAAAATTTTATATTTATTCTCAATCAGTTATTCAGAAGATGAAAAATCGTATTTAGCATGAGTCATATGTTTATCATTTAGTATAGGAATATACTTTATACAGTACTCGAATAGATGCTAGATGTTACAAAAGTTACATTGTAATACAATTACATTAGCAAAAGTTAATATATTACTGTCACCGTACAGTAAGATTGATACGATAAATATTTTAGAGCATTACAGTAATGTTTGCTATTAATTGTTTAAAATTCATATATTCTATAATTTTTTCATTTTTTCCATTGCATAATAGAAGTGTAAGAAATGAAAAAAAAAAAAAAGTAAAAATTATCCTAAAGCAGGCATTGAAATAAATAAACGAAAAACGGTAGTAGTCGAAGATTAATTGAAATACATTTTCCAAAAAAAAAAATTATTTATATTTCCTCAATTTATAAGAAATCGGGGAAATATGTCAGTAAATAATGGAAATACATGTAATCAGTGATTTGCAAAGAAGAAGAATGATATATAATGGTATTATTCGGAGAAGTATTGAACTTTCTACCCTATTATTATTTCTACAACTTTGTGCTTCCTTAATATTATTTACTAAATTTTAAGTAATTTCAATTTTTTGAATTTCTAAAAATTAATTCAAACCATAAGATCGAAATTGGGAAAGAAACTATGCATTTTTAAAATGAATTTCAATCTTACTTATTTCTTTGTTGATTTTTAATGACATTTTAATTTTTTGAAAGTAATTATAATTTATATTGTTATTTGAATTTTAATTTACAACTACTATTTGTTGTTGCTGTTTTTTTTCCTCAAATTTTAACTTGAAATTAAATTTAAAATCAAGTACAACATTCTTTCTAAATTTCAATATAAAATTTTTAATTCGCAACAAGTTATTGCTATTCATTCCAAAATTGTAATCGTTTCAGTGATGCATTTACTTTAGCAATATGTTAATTATTCATTTCTTTCAAGTTATTTGATTTAACAATTGATCCAGTTAATGTGTATAAAATTATAGCAATGAAAAAGATTACATTTATTACTGAATATTACACTTTTTTGATGTTTTTTTATCGCCTAATTTTTAAAAATTACGAAATAATTTGAAAAAAAAATATTTCAAGAATAGTTGTGGAAAACAAAATTTTTTGCTTCTTTTATTTTCATAGTTTGATTAAATAATAAGCTAAGAAATTTTAAAAGTGAAACAAATGAAAAAAAAAGAAGAAAAAACTAGTCATTCTTTTTTGGTACTTACAAAATTAACTGAAAAAAAAAAGTGGAAAAGAAGAGATATAATTGGTGAAAAAATTAGAAAGACCAAAAATTACTTCTAAAATAGTTTCCATTTATTAATTTGTTAATTAGCTAAACTATGAGAGAATTGTTTTGCATGGCAAAATTGTTTGAGCACGACCAAAATATTTTCATTTCTATTTTAAATAATTCATTGCATAAGATGAAAAGAAGAAATCAAATATGTAAGTTAAAAAAAAATTTTCGTTTTTTGTCAATCAAACGATTGAATGAAATATGATATAATAAATTAAACGAAAATAATGTTTCCCTGAAATCTTTCGTTTTTTTTATGCAAAATATTTTTGTAAACAAAAAAAAAAAAAAAAAACCAAAAACCAAACCAATGATTTATGAAATATTATGATTAATAAGAATTAAAATTGTGATCCTTTTTTTTGTTTAACAAATTATTTCTGATACATCTAATTTTAGCATATTCATTGGGACAGTGAATATTTTGTTAAAATAATTTAATAAGAAAATTTTTAAATTTCAATCTTATTGATAATTTTTTTTCTTAATTTTAATTTTACACAAAAACAGAAAGGATGTCAAAATTTTGATGTACGAATTCCTTTTTTCTTTATTCCAAATAATATCAAAAAAAGAGTTAGAAACATATGTATATGAAAAGCTTTGCATATATAACTGTTCAAAAAATTTTTTTCATTTTTTACACTAAAACTTTGTCACTTCAAAAATTTTCAAAAAAAAAAAAACTTCAGAAATAAAATGACAAAATTTTTTCATTTTAAAATTTAAAAAAAAAAACTTCAAATTCTAAAACGCTTAATTACAATTTTACAATCATTGATCATTTTATTAAATCGATCAAAATGTATTGTTGGATGATGATTCATTGTTATCCAATTTTGCTTTCGTATTGTTTGAGCTATTTTACCGTATCATATTTTTATCATAATTTTTCATTTTTGATGAAAATACAAAAATAAGCTTATTAGCAATAAAAAATTATTCAGCTTAATTGATATCTTCCAATTTTAGTTTTCTATTTTTTTTTTTAAATTCAATTTCAATTTTAATCTTTTTTTTTCTTTTATATTCAAAATATTTCCCTTTCATTGGTGGTATTTTATATGAAAACTTTGAATGTTGAAAAATTTCTTACAATGAATGAATGAATTATTAATGTTATTCATAAACAATAGGGAAAGAATGGTAAATGAATGTGGAAGAAAGAGAAAGTAAAGAGAATTTAAATATGAAAAGAAATATTATAGTTAAATAAGAGAAGAAATTGAAAGATAAAAATATGATATGAAAGAGAAGAAAGAGAAAATTAAATTAATTGAAGGAATAAATTTGATTATAGTAAAGATAAGAGGAATTGAATGATTGACAAAATTAGATTGAAGTATGAGGACGATAAATTCGATTTATTTTCAATTCCTTAATTTAGATAAAAGGAAAATTTCATTTGGCAATATTGGTTGCATTTATTAAAGATTACTAAAATTTATAAGAAAAAAAGAAAAAAAGAAAGAAGGCATTCGCTTGAGAAGTTATTTGCAATTAATAATTTTAAAGTTTCATTTTTTTTTTCTTCTATATGTTGCCTCAAATGGATATAATAATTGGAATTGTGGTAGTAATATGAAAATAAATTTGGCACAAAGAATTTTGCTTACATATTGTTTTCTTTGATTGTAAAATTTTAAAAAATTTAAATATTTTTTAAAAATTAAATCGAATTAATTGAATTAAATCAAATTATTAAGCGTCAAGGGAATATTAAAGCATTATGACAGAATAGTTAGACAAAAAAAAAAAAGAAAAATGAAGAACATATGATATTGTATTACAAAGATATTTTATAGCTTTTGTGATAATTAAATGATAAAATTTAATACAATATCATTTACATATCATTAGTATAAATGGTATAAATGTTTGTGCTTTAATTATTTGTAACATTTAATAACTAACCTATTTGATCGATCCTTGAACCAAGTAACAATGATACTGTAACCAAGACAATAGCTAGAACAGTTAGCACAATTGCAATTGCTGTAATCATACGTCGCGCATATGCATGATTTTGCTCTTTACGATATTCCAAATTATCACTTCGTCTCTGTTCTTCCATTCTTTAATATTTTAAGATATGAAATTTTTAAAATGTTAATTTACAATTTAGGTCCAATTACAAAATGGTTATTGTTAAAGAGGAGGAATAAAAATGATAGGAATGATAAAAATGATAAATAGATAAATTTTATTCATGCACAATTGCATATAAATAAATGTAAATGTACGGGGTATTCTAAAATTTTGACAACATTTTAATAACAATTGATATGGAATGAATTAAAAAAAAAAATTGAGAAATTAAACGATAATAGAATTTTGTTTTTTTAAAAGAATTTCTTAAAAAAAAATTTCTTTTTTAAAAAAAAAAACACAAATTTTCCTTCCATTTTTTTAATTCGAAAAATCATTAAATAATGAAAGGAAAAAAAAGCAAACAAAGAAACTTGATATGAAACTTTTTTTTTTTTGAAATGATGAAAAAATTTCGATTGAAAATTAAAATTTGGCAAAACATCTGTGAACATTGATAATCATTCATTCAATATGTATTGCATAGAATTCGAAATGAACTCCCTGAATTTAAAAATTCTAAATGAATTCCCTAAATTTAAAGTTCATATACAAAATAAATTTCCTGAATTTAAAAATTCAAAATAAATTTCCTGAATTTAAAAATTTTAAATGAATTGTCCAAATTTAAAGATTTGAAATGAATTTCCTGAATCTAAATATCTAAAATGAATTTACTAAATTTTGATAATATCTTTCTTTAACAGAATTTTTTATATAAAATTAATTTCTAATTCTCTAATTATTTGACATGAAAGATTCAATTAATTCTATTTAGCAACGACAAACGAGCGGAAAAATTTATTAATTGATGTATGTTGTATGTGTATGTGTGTATGTGTGTGTGTGTGTGTCTGTTTGTATGTTGTGTGTGTGTGCATGTGTATGTATGGTGTATTTGTGTATGTGTGCGTGTGTGTGTGTGTGTGTATGTCTGTGTGTTAAATTTTGCATAATATTATTATATGTAAGCGCTGATATACATACATATATATATATATAACATTTTGCGCATAGGGAATAAACGATGAAAAAAGGCTTAAAATGTCGTGTTATTGAAGGGGAAAATGTCAATAGCAACTGAAATGAATGGCATCATTTTGTTTGTTTACGTCAAATAAGTTTTGCATAGAAATGGTAAATGAGCCAATTTCTTTTTTTTTTTCTTTTTTGTTTTTTTGTTTTTTATTTTTTTATTTTCAAATATTTAAGATAAAATTCAAAATTTAAATTTACTAAATACAATTTTTTTTAACGATAAATTAATAAATTTAATTATGCGAAAAAGATTTTTTTTTTTTTTGCTTATCAATACAAATCATTTATTAAAAACAAAGCAAAAGAAAAAAGGTAAAAAAAAGGAAAAGCAAAATAATATAAAATAGATTTCAAAAATAGTTTTATGTAAATTTGGCTAAATTTTTAATAATTATTCCAGAAATTTAATGAAAAATTTACTAAATTTTTGCATTCATTTCAAAAATGGTAAAAACTTTGCAAAATTTTAATAATTATTTCAAAATTTACAGTAATTTTGTGAAATTTTACTAACTATTTCAAAATTGTTAGTAATTTTGAGAAATTTCAGTACAGTTATTTTGAAATTGACAGGAAATTTGGTAATTTTTTTTTTGTTAATTATTTCATAATTTTAAAAATAAATTATTTACGATACGAACTTACATTATTTAATTAAAAAATTTCGAATTTGTACCGGCAATTACAAATGATTTATAATTTTAAATGAAAAGGAAAGATATTAGATATTATATGATTGGTTGGTTAAAATGATTAATATCAAATGACAAAATGAAATAGGAAATTTAAAATGTTTTTTCGTTTCCATCCTAATCAATTATCCTTTTTTCTTATTCCTTCCCCTTCCCTCTCTTCTTTATCTTTTATCTTTTTATCTTTATCATCATCATCATCATTACTTATCTTTTACCATTTAATATTGGATATAAATAACATATCTCTTAAAGCCTACCTAACAAGGATGGATATGCTTAGTATTGAAAATTAATGTTTACAGCATTATTATCAATTCAACATATAAATCATTTCCCTCTTATCATTAACAGATAATAAAAGTAATGGGCAAAAAAAAAATGAATAAAGGAACTTGGATTAAATTTAAAAAAAAAAAATTGCAAAAAAAAGTTTTTTTTTAAAAAAAAAACTTTGTTGATAAAAGAGTGATAATAATATGGGAAAAGGAAATGATGAATGATAATGATGAATGAATTTTATTTTTGGAATTGCTACTTTAGTTTTATATTATTGTTTTATTTATGCGTTAAATTAATTAACAATGAAAGTTAAAAGGATGTAAAAATCAATCGATAATAAATAATTATAAAGAATCAAAAAGCAAAAGGCGGAATTATTCGTTCTAAGAATTATTCGAAATTATCCATTCTAAATGAAATTTAAACTTTCAACAAGGGACTTATTTAAATTATTTGAAGCATAAATTTTATGCTATTTCTAGCAAGTTTTGTACATTTTAAGCATTATAGGTTAGTTTCATAAAAAAAAAAAAAAAATGTCTGAAATTGGAAATCTTTTTTCTAAATAAAGTAAATCAGTTCAGCTAGATGAGTTTTTTTTTTCAATTTTTATTTTCAATTTAACTATTAACCAAAATTTGGCATTTATATTCTATTCATTCGTATTGCATACAATTAATCAATAAATAGTTTACAGAAGAAAATCAAATTAAAAAAAAATAATATTTCTAATAAAAAATTTCAAAAGTATATATATATATATGTCTATTTGATGAGATATGGTTAAAATTTTTACAATAATAATTTTTCAATTTAATTTCATGATTATTTAATTGTAATTTTTAATAAATAATCGATTTAATTGCGTCATTTTGTTTTAACTAATTCCTTATCAACTAATCATTGTTATCAATCATTGTTAAGCAATTATCATATGGAATTGTTAGTTTGAAATGAATCACATCACAAATCTTTTTCTTACCTAATTTATAAATGATAAGATTGGAACATTTAACTTCTATTATCATTTATTGATAATTAAATTCATTATTGTTATTAATTGATAATTAAATCAAATAAATAATAAATTACAATGTTATACAATATAATCGTGTTATCATCATTATACTTATGCTAAATGATGATAATTAATCTCTATATCATATAACAATAATTATTAGCTTTAGCTATTATCAAATCTTTGTTTTGATCATTCTTTACGATTACAACGAATATATTTGTTATGTATTAAAATTTTTTATCCTTACATTATCATAATTATATTACACTTTATATTTTTGTTTTTCTCTTTTTTATTTAGTATTTGGAAAAAAAAAAGAGAAAATTTCATTAGAAAAATAAAGAAAAATGGAAAATTCGATTTAATTTTACTGTAAAACACCAATGAATGAATTTTTTTTTTTTAAGTTTACTCAATAAACTATTCTTCTTCTTTATCATCATCGATTGCTATTAGCAATAATAATTAATGTGACTAATTAATTAGCAATTGATATTGTAAAAGATAAAAGTAGTTGAATTTATTTGAAGAATATAATTGAATGAAATTGAAAAACAAATAGAATAGAGAAGACTTTTTTTTTTTGTTATTGTTGTTCATTATTACCATTAATGGTGTTATTTGAAAGATATTAAATTGAATAATCCGTAAGGATTTGTTATCATTAAATTATCACTGAAATCAATCAATTATTGGTACTTGATTATCTCATCTCATCAAACATTTCGTAATTTGTTTGATTTGAATGATAACAAACGATACCATCTCATTTATTCTTCCTAGAATTTATTCTTCCTCATACATTCTACTTTATCAGAAGTATAAATTTCTTATCATTCTTGTATCAACAGATAACATTTCATCGCTTCCGTCAGATGATTGATGATCAATGATCGATAAAAAAGATGAAGAACGAAGATTTCTTGTAGTAATAAGCAATATTCAAATTACATTACAATCATGTAATACTACCAAATATTGATGGATATAATTACTAAATTACTGGATGACCGAATTACTGAAATACTCCGTATGATAATTTAAATATTATTTGTATTTTAATGAGTCATCTTCTGTATTCCGGAAATATAATGACGGCATAAATGTCATTAATGTAATACAGTTGTTATGAAAAATTGAAACTATCGAATGCATAAGCCTAAGATCAAGTTACAATTGGTTAGAAGCTGAAAATGAAAAGATGAAATAGTTTATATCGGATAACTTATATAAATCAACTAATATGAACATTTTTCCGGTTTTATTAATTCAAGTTTCTGTTTGCATTATAAGCTTAAAAAATTCCAATTATCACTAATTTGATAAATATCAAATTTC